AAGTTAACAATCTTATTCTTATAAAAATGCCATGAGACACTTACATTACCACAGCAGCCAGAGCAGTTATTTTACATGTCACTGGGCACAATGCAGGCATAACGGGGTGACATTCTATGGGCTGTGTTATACAGAAGGTCAGACTAGTGGTTCCTTCTGGCCTTTCATCTGAAACATGGTGTCTCCAGCAACACAGAACTCTCTGTTATAATGCTGAGCTTTGGCTCAGTACTGACCCAGAAGTCAGAGGGCTACCTAGGAATCCACAGCGATATACTTTATGCAGATGTTCCTCATCTCAAGCACTGACCCAAAACAACCTCTCAACTTGTGAGCTCTGACAGGATCACAGCAGCATTGTGGACACAGGCAATGACACAATGTGGACACATTTAGACAGATGCACTTTCTGTGTATCAAACCAGTAAATAAATACTGGTAAAACCACCAAATTTTCTGTTTGATATGTTATTGTATTAAAGTAAAAAGAGAAAAAAATGGAAGGGGGAAGATGTGTAAAGCTGATCATACATTGGTGCAAGCAATCTACTTATTAAAGTTCTAGGGATCTGACACATGGTAAGTCTCCCATTTATCCAGTAAATTATTTTATCAAGGGGTTTTATTTATTCATTTAACATGTGCCCATCCAAAGCTCTTGGCACAGTTATAAAATATATCAATAGAAATACCACAGTAAATAAAGAAGTGGTTCAGGACTGTTTAGAAAAGCTGGATGTGCACAAGTCCCTGGGGCCGGATGCACTGCATCTGAGGGTGCTAAAGGAGTTGGCCGATGTGATTGCACAGCCATTGTCTTTGAAAACTCATGGTGATCGGGGGAGGTCCCGGATGACCGGAGAAAGGCTAATGTAGTGCCCGTCTTTAAAAAAGGGAAGGAGGAGGATCTGGGGAACTACAAGCCAGTCAGCCTCACCTCAGTCCCTGGAAAAATCATGGAGCAGGTCCTCAAGGAATCAATTTTGAAGCACTTTGAGGAGAGGAAACTGATCAGGAACAGTCAGCAAGGGCAAGTCATGCCTGACTAACCTAATTACCTTCTATGATGAGATAACTTGCTCTGTGGATGAGGGGAAAGCAGTGGACGTGATATTCCTTGACTTTAGCAAAGCTTTTGATATGGTCTCCCACAGTATTCTTGCCAGCAAGTTAAAGAAGTATGGGCTGGATGAATGGACTATAAGGTGGATAAAAAGCTGGCTAGATCGTCGGGCTCAACAGTTAGTGATCAATGGCTCCATGTCTAGTTGGCAGCCGGTATCAAGCGGAGTGCCCCAAGGGTCTGTCCTGGGGCCGGTTTTGTTCAATATTTTCATTAATGATCTGGAGGATGGCATGGATTGCACCCTCAGCAAGTTTGCAGATGACACTAACCTGGGAGGAGTGGTAGATACGCTGGAGGGTAGGAATCAGATACAGAGGGACCAAGACAAATTAGAGGATTGGGCCAAAAGAAATCTGATGAGGTTCAACAAGGACAAGTGCGGAGTCCTGCACTTAGGACAGAAGAATCCCATGCACTGCTACAGACTAGGGACCGAATGGCTAGGCAGCAGTTCTGCAGAAAAGGACCTAGGGGTTACAGTGGATGAGAAGCTGGATATGAGTCAACAGTGTGCCCTTGTTGCCAAGAAGGCTAATGGCATTTTGGGCTGTATAAGTCGGAGCATTGCCTGCAGATCGAGGGACATGATCATTCCCCTTTATTTGGCATTGGTGAGGCCTCATCTGAGTACTGTGTCCAGTTTTGGGCCCCACACTACAAGAAGGATGTGGAAAAATTGGAAAGAGTCCAGCGGAGGGCAACAAACATGATTAGGGGGCTGGAACACATGACTTATGAGGAGAGGCTGAGGGAACTGGGATTATTTAGTCTGCAGAAGAGAAGAATGGGGGGGGGGGATTTGATAGCTGCTTTCAACTACCTGAAAGGGGTTTCCAAAGAGGATGGATCTAGGCTGTTCTCAGCGGTAGCAGATGACAGAACAACGAGTAATGGTCTCAAGTTGCAGTGGGGGAGATTTAGGTTGGCTATTAGGAAAAACTATTTCACTAGGAGGGTGGTGAAGCACTGGAACGGGTTACCCAGGGAGATGGTGGAATCTCCTTCCTTAGACGTTTTTTAAGGTCAGGCTTGACAAAGCCCTGGCTGGGATGATTTAGTTGGGGATTGGTCCTGCTTTGAGCAGGGGGTTGGACTAGATGACCTCCTGAGGTCCCTTCCAGCCCTGATATTCTGTGATTCTATGAATAAACACTTTGAACCCATGTCGAAATATCCACCCAGATCTCTACAAAACTAAGACTGCCTCACCATACTATTCTTTATTGGCAGGGTTGGTGTCTATCTGTAAACTTCAGTGTAAACCTACAATCTGAAGCCTTAAATAATCCTAGAAAATTACCTTGCTTCCTGGATGTCTTTTTGAGAAAGATGCCAATCTCTCCTGAGAAGGATGCTCCCTATATATTCTGCCAATATTGCCCAAACTACTCAAATAAAGCTGACATTTTGTGTGTTGGTTTTAAATATATCATATTATTGTTTGATGTAATTTTTTAATTTTTTTAAAAGAACAGTCATAATGAAATAAGCTTTGGGGGTTGTTTAAAACACTTCTGGATTAAGAGGATTTAAGATAGATGGGGCTTTTTAAAAGTATTATTTTATCAGGTCATTTCACTTTGTATCCCACTTACGCCCTATTATGGGATTGTGTCTAATATGCTAAAAATCACACAAGACATGTGAATTCTTATAAAAAATATGTTCTACAGTAATGATCCAAAAAGGTGACAGCTGTCAATGATATTACTGTGATTTTTGAATAATCATTTTAATATAATAAATAAATAAATAAATAATACTTTAAATATATTTTGCTCTTATAAGCCTGCTCCTGTTCCCATTGAAGTAAATTGTTGAAGTCCCATTCACTTCAACTGAAACAGTGCATATATTACTGTACCATATTGTAGGGTTTTTATATTAGCTCTGAATTTAGTCTGCCAGGCACATTTTGTATGTATCAGAAGGACATATGACCAATATGGTTTTTGGCTTCTTACGGACTTTATGGTACTTTTACCACCTTCTCCTACTGGCTCTCTTCTGTTCAGCCTTCTGCTATATCTGATAGGCGGCTGACAGAAGTAGTGCGGGAGAGTGGTTAAGTAAATAATTTAGTAGAGAAATAAGACCAGACTCTTATGATATTATTAGAAAAGTTGCTATTTGGAAAAAAATATGTACAAGGCCTCTTTCCCTCTTCAAAGACCAAAAATGGCATCAATTCACCCTGAGTTGGGCAAGTATCTATATTAGATACACTAGTATCTATATTAGATATAGTCAGACAGTTAGTTTGTTCATTTCCTAAACTTCACAAGCTGTGTAAAAATATGTGGGTAATTGGTGGCTCAAATGGTAATACACTCCATTTGCTATCAGGTTAGCAAGAACCATAGTGAGACGCTGCTACCCTTGGCTTTGGTGCTCTGAATGATTCACTCATCCATCTATACATTCCTAATGTGTTCTTGAGAAAGGCAGCATGAAGCAAAGATGTTGCATACTGAATTTAAAACTTTCCAAAGATAAAATAACTTCCACAGCCTTTTCATCTGATTTCTCAAAAAGCTTTGAAGACTGCTTTTCTTAAATCAAAACTGCTATTTTTATTCAAGCACAGCAAGTGGGACATAATTCAGCTCTGCTTGCATATAATTCTGTTCAGAAAGGGTGTTTGTCAATTGAATGCTGTCCAATCACTTCCACAAATAAAGTGAAGAGCCCATCCTCTCCTCCTATGAGTTCACACATTTTTAAGGTATGTCAACACTGTAAAAAAAAAGAGAGAGAGAGAGACTGACCCCTTGGCAGTGACTCTTAGAGTCTGGGTCAGTTGACTCAGGCTCAATGGGCTCATGCTATGGGGCTAAAAGTAGCACTATAGACGTTTAGGCTCGGGCTTGGAGCCCAGGCTCTGAGAGCATCCCCTTGCTGGATTTCAGAGCCCAGGCTTCAGCCCAAGCCCAAATGTCTACACTGCTATTTTTAGCTCCAGAGTGTGAGCCCACGTCCGTTGACCCAGGCTCTGACACTTGCAGTCGTTTTTTGCAGTGAAGACAAATCCAGATTGTTGCTCTGTGTGCTGCTCCCTGTTTTCTGAGATCACTTTCCATGTCTCACATAGTGTAAGTGAGGGATGGAGGGACCTGGTTCAGGAAGCCTTGGATACTTTCTAACATCCAATTCACCCTCTGCACTATAATGTCACACAATGTTTAAGTTATCATGAAGGGAAGTGCCAATCTTGAGAATGATGTGATATCATTGCATTTGGGGACTGCTGATTCACTGGAATGGTGACGTCATCTTGGAAGTACTGTTTTCAGGGGGTAGACTTCCAACAGTGACATCAAAGAAGATGCCAGATATAACATCTTCATATACCCATTGCTAAATTGGAGCCTCCTCCTTCCAAGTACTGGACATCCTAAACAATTTAAACTTAAAAATATTTTATAGTAGTATTATTCATTTGTACTATGGTAGCACCTAGAAAGCACATTCAAGGATCATTGTGGTAGGCACTGTACTGGCAAATAATGAGGAAGACAGCTCTGCCCCAGAGAGCTCACAATCTCCATGTCAGTCAGGGTGTAAGAAGTGGACAAAACAAACAGGGTGAACATGGGAGGAAATGAGATAACAAAATTAACAGCTTAGCAGAAAAGTAGGAGTTCAGGTTTCTCAGCATTAGAACATAAGAGCGGCTATACTGGGTCAGACCAAAGGTCCATCTAGCCCAGTATCCTACAAGTGTAGGCAAACAGATTGCCAATGTGCATTTCTAAAATAAAAAACAATTAAATGGAACTTTAAACACAGCATTAAAACTAATGGCAAAGCTTCCATTGACTTCAACGCAGCAGGATTTCACCCAGCATTTTCATTTTCCCACATCAACAGTTACCTTTTCATTAGCTTTCCTTTTTGTTCTTGCATCCATCCAGTCATTTTCCTTTTCCAACATGTCGATAAAGGCCCAGCGAATCCCTTCAGTCAACTCCGCCATCTGCAAAACAAATTCTCCCCAATAAAGAGAGTCATGGGAAACTGACTATGAGAAAAGCAAATTTCTTGATTAACTGGGTATATGAATGACCTGTGGGGTAAGACTACATCTGTCTCTCTTTATACGACACCAAGTCTCCTTCCTTCCCCACATACCTTTCGCTGTCTCTCCCCGCAACCCTGGGATTTCTAGTCATAGAGTGCTTGCCTTCATTTTCATCTCTACCAGCTACACTACACAAGTTTCTGACTATTGTTCTCTCCATGACACAGTAATGAACAGTCATCATGAGAGTGCCTTTCTTGTGCTCATGATGGACATGCTGAGAGAACAGCAGAAGTCTTGTGAAATTCCTGGCAATTTGTTTCCCAATCACATGTGTATAGTGCCCAGTATTCCTTCTGACTGACATTCATCCAAAAGAACCGTATTTGGGCTGTTTGCATCTCTACCCAAACACAAAGCAGAGCTCTATTATTTATCCAACTAGCTTTGTTTGTGGACTTTTACTGTAATTTAAAGTTTACTGTTTATATTACAGATGGTAGCAGCTTGAACACCCAACTGGGCCCAGTTTTCCTTGGTTTTTGCACCTTGGATAGTAATTTACATTGGCACCACAATTCTGATCTGGTAGCATTTTTCATCCACTTGGCACAGGTATAAAATGACTACACAAGGTGTCACTGAATTTCAAAAACAGGAATAGTAACAGGAATAGTGACCGGGGACCTAGAAAGAGTTGACGGAGAGAGACTGTGTGAGTCTGATTTCGTGACTGGACTGGTTGCTTGGGTGGGTTCGAGACCGGCCCGCGGAACTTTGGGGGTTGGACTAGATGACCTCCTGAGGTCCCTTCCAACCCTGATATTCTATGATTCACCTAGATACTAGGAGGATAGACATTCGAGAATAGCCTAAAATGATACACATCAAGCAACCCCATGGCATCTGATCCCAAGTGAAAGATTATTCTGCTGGTCTAAAGAGCGGAAATGTTATCAGTCCTATGTATTTGGCTGGGGGAGCTGAACAACAGAGGTGCTCATAGTCAGTTGCTACTACTTGTGTTGATAGGCAATTACTAAAGACACAACCTTGGCAATAAAAGAAGGGCTGAAGTTATTGGAGCTGGATCAGGCCTAAAAGTTGGGATACCAAAAGACATTCAAAACTAATCTAAGGATTCGACCATATCACTATATAAAGTTTATCAGCTGTGTTAAATTTAAAAATAAACAGAAATGTCAATTAACATGGATGTGCAACATGTTAATCAGTAGAGATGGTATCATTAAAATGTCCTTGTGGGGGTAGAGGGACCCTGAAAAATAGCAACATTATTTTCAGCTGAGCAGTCATGAATGCATCAGACTCACATTTTGAGCTGTTATTTCCTTGTTGTGTGTGTGTCTCAAATTAAAGGAAAGCACTTGCCCTCTTTACTATTCAGTTTCCTCCCCTCCTTTTTTTAATATCTCATTACTTTAGAGACAATATAGGACAACCAGAACAAAACATTAAATATGACCAAACCATCTCAGTAAACGGCATCCAAGGGACTAAAGTAACTTAAAGAATATTGATGGCAGAGCACTGAATCAATTAACTTAGTACACTAATGAGGTGAACTCCTTGTGTTTGGAGGTTGCAAGTTCAAACTCAAGCTCTGCAATTGGACCCTGGTGTCTATTTAGGTTTTATGCACCAGCTGTAGCAGTAGGGGGTGGGAGAAGAAACCTATTCATATTATCAGAGTTATTACTGAAATTGCTCAGGCATAGCTGTAAGAAACACTGCAGAGTCTGTAGGTCAAAAACAATACTATATTTAGACACAGATAATATTTTTTCATAAAAGGAGGAGAGAGAAGGCATGCATGTCGTGAGACATCATCAGTGACTAAAACCTGAAAACACCATACCATCCATAACTCATGATTTGCTTAGCATGGATAGCTACCTACTCTCCTTTAGCTAAGGAAAAAATGTTCTAGAAATCAGAATGGCTTGCCTGATGTAAGAAAGGGGAAAAGAATCGAAAAAGAGGAAGAGAAAAAATTATTAAAAATAAACTTGAAGAGCCACAATTTTCAAGGTTTCAACCAGATTCAATATGACCTCTAATTTTATTTCCATACTCACACTCAGGGCAGCTCTACTCTAGAAGCGCTACGGCGGTGCAGCTGCACCACTGCACATCTGGTAAAAACGCTGTATGCCAGCAGGAGAGCACTGTCCTGTTGACATAATTACGCCACCTTCGTGAGAGGTGGAAGCTATGTCAGCAGGAGAGCCTCTCCCACCATCATAGCGCCAGTGTGGACAGAGCTTAGGTCGCTGTAACTTGTGTCACGCGGGGGTGGGAGGTGCCTTTTTCACACCCCTCAGCAACGTCAGTTAGATCAACTTAAGCAGTAGTATAGACCTGCCCTCAGATAAACCTGCATGGAGGTCATTACGCTACGTTTGTGACATCCCAGTGTTTTTTTCCCCTAACAAACTGTAATATAAACACCACTTTAGGAATTCAGTGAATGACCAAGGAGCTGAAAAAGTTGGATGTTGGAGAGGAAATTCTAGTTCAAAGACAAAGGCTTACAACAGTAAAAAAGGGAATCCAGATCATTACTGAAAATATAAGGAACAAAGACTTTGCCAAACCAAATCAAACCACTGGTCAATTTGGGATCCTGCCCTTGACAGCAGCCAACACCTGGTCCTACACATGAAACTGAAGAAACTAGAGGTTGAGTCAAGCCAATAAATTTAGATCAGGAGACTGGGCCTGATTCAATGCCCACTGAAGTCAAACCCTTCCATTGACTACCGTGTATTAGATCAGGCCCTTCAATCCAAATCTGAATTTTCCCAGAATCTAGTATTTGGGGTTCAGCTTAGGCCCACTAAAGAGAAGATCCATTAGCTGGAAGTTGAAGTTAAAAAATTAGAAAAGATCAAAGTGGAACTAAGTCACAAGTTTTTAACAGCGAGGATAGTTAATCTTTGGACCAATTTATCAAGGGAAATGGTAAATTCAGCATTAATTTGAAGTCTTTTGATTGAGAAGAGATGGCTTTCTGAAAGGCCTGCTCTAATTCAATCACCTGTTATTGGGCTCAATCATGTTCACTTACATAATATGGAAGAATAATTCCTCCCACCGTAGGAATTACTGGGTGAAATTTTATGACCGGTGTTATGCAGGAGGTTTGATTATATCATCACAGATTTCTTAAAATTATCTTCCTAAAATTTTATGAATCACAAATCCTGAGTTTTGATCTTCAGATAGCTTCCCCAAAATTTGGGCCAGAGATCAGTTATGGATTTCCTATGCTGGCTCAAACTTCTAGGGAGGATATTCAGAATGCATATAGTCAACTGTGCAATGCTGCATTTGCAGAGAGGAGATCCTTCTTGACCCTCACAGCTGAGAAGTCTTGGATCAGATCCTCAAGATCAGATCCTACAGTTCCAATGATGATGCCAGTTGGCTCCTGCATCACAAGAATTACCCTTATCTTAGAAGTCATAACTACAAGTGTTATTCATGGTGAAAATATTACCTGGATACATTTTTAAATCCAGCTACATATTTGTCTCAAAGGCCTGAACTGGAAATGAATGCACAGACTGAATTTAGCTGGAGGGAGAGGAGGCATTTCCTTTTCTTTGTTCTGTTTTTCCCTACCATCCATTGCTCTGAATAAGTGAAATTTTTAAAATCATTGCTGGTGGAAAGTCTCTCTTTAAAGATAAATTCAACTTGAAATTTATTCTGCTGGGAGAAAGAAACTATTTAAAAGTTTTCAGATAGAGACTGAGGAGGACTTACCATTTCTCTCTTGTCTTCTTGAAAATGGACATCCACAAACATCCTGCCAATGACATAAGGGAGTGCTCCTTCTACAAAGTTTACACATTTATCCCACTGAGGCAGTAAAGATGTGGTTCCCTGGATTACCTGTTGGCATTGCACAATAAACCATCAGAACATGCCATTTGAGAAAAACCATGGAAATAACTCAGTATCCTCATGGTAAATTTTGAAAAGTAACAGACAGACATAACCTAATATATATATATAACAGCAGGGTCATTTTACTATTTATGTTGCATTTTCATAGTCTTCAAAAAGACACCAGCTGAGGATCTGCCTTCTTAATGTCTAATTCACCATTTAATGAGCAGGATGCAGCATTCTGCACCAACTTCAACATCACCCAAAAGACCACCCCTCTGGTCACTCCCCATTCCCCTGAACCAGGCCTGCCATTAGGATGCAAAGGATTGGGGTAGGAACTACTGAATGTGGAAGGTCATCAGTATGCCTGCCTGCATGGGCATTTCTGGGAGGGCACTAATATCAGTGTGAGAAAGAAAGCACCAGCACGAGTAGAGGCTATCAATGAGTGTGTGAATGCAGTAGAAAAGTGGGAGTGTAGAAAGGCACCACTGAGTGGGGGGAGTGGGGCAAATGTGTGTGACAGTGTAGAGGGGCATGAATGTGTGAGGTAGGAGAGGGCGCTGGAACCTTTGTAGAAGTGGGGAGGCTGAGGCCAAAGTGCCTGCTCTCTCTCTCTCCACGGCTGGCTGCTCCAGCAATGAGCCAGCTGCCCTCTCTTCTGGTCCCACAGCAATTCCGAGTGGGCAAAATGTATATCTGTAGCACCTCCCTGGCAGAATCTATTATTCGGGGGGGGGAGGGGAGGATCTGCAGGGACATGAATTCTCCGCTTGTTTCTTTTGTTAAAAAGTGGGAGGCATGGCCCCTTGCTCCTTCAGTTCTGGCACCAGTGGCCCTAGTGCCTGAGAGAGAGCAGGAGGTCCAGTGTGCAATTGCGAGAGAGACATGCATAGTTGGATGTAGAGTAATAGGCCAGGATAAAAAAGAGGGAATGAAAGACTACAGAGAACGTAGCAAGAGAAGAATATACAGAATGAGTAGGAGGAAGAAGTTAGATGAGAAAAGCATCAGAGAAATAAGAGTGCGGTGAAACATACTGAAAAAATAGAGGAAAAGTAATAATATGTATAATAGAAGGAAAGAAATATTGGAGTAAAAGAAGAAGAAAAAAGCCATGGAGACAAAGTTAATCTTTCATTGAATAATTTCTAATGGCAAAAAGTTTCAAATAATACAGAGTTAATGTTTGACATATGCATATGCATATCTTTTGACTAGCCATTTTATTATACCACAACTCCCTTCAATGTACCAAACATGATATTGTTTGTGCATTGGGCAGTAGGCTATAGGAGGAGGAAGAACTTTGAGGATGGGGAAGAGATAGCAGGCGGTCAGATTCCAGTGAGACAAAAAATGTATTGGGTGGTGTTGTGAGAGGAGGTATCTTGACTGAGAGAAAGTGTCAGCATGTAGGCTAGTCAAAATATATTGATTGCCTGCACCACTTTGTACCTGCCAGCCTTGCCTTGCTCCCATGGGCAGTGGACATCATAGGCTGGGGGAGGCTTGAGCCTCCCCAAACAGCCTAGCGTGGCCCTGCCCGTGTGCTGCCCACCCGGCGCTCCGGGGCTCAGGCTGGGGACACTGAGGCCGCTCGAGCGGCCCAGGGCTGTGGGGCCGGCGGCCATGGTGGGAGTGCTCTGGGCTCCGGTGGGAGAGTGAGGTGTATGGCGAGGGAGAGGGGTGGGCCTTGGGCAGAAGAGGAGGGGCCAAGGGCTAGCCTCCCCCAATGGCCTGCTCCCCAATTTGTTATCGGGAAAGGAAGAAATGCCTGGAGTCACTCAGGGCTGGTCTACACTGAAGGTGTAAAGTCGACCTAAGTTACGCTACCTCAGTTACATAAGTTACGTAACTGAAGTCGACGTAGCTTAGGTTGACTTACCGCTGTGCCTACACCATGCTGTGTTGATGGGAGATGCTCTCCCACCAACTTACCTTACTCTTCTCTGGGAGGTGGAGTACAGAAGTCGACGGGAGAGCGCTCCACCATCAACGCTGCATCGACGCAGCAGTACCGATTTAGCCATAAGTATAGGCAAGCCCTTAATGGAGCCCCTTTCCAGTCAATTGAACAGCAATGTTGATGGACTCTGAAGGGATCTGTGTTCATCTTTTATCAGCCCAAAACATACTGGCATGTGGCAATGGCCATTAAGGGAGGAGGAAGGTGCAAAATGGAGGAAAACAGGGATCCTCAAGATTTTAATGGTTTCAAACACACGTTCAGGGATTTTTATTTATTTATTGGCAAATGAAATCTTTGTTTCCTCTGATGCCTTGTCTCATCATGTAAAAGTCACTTTAATAATTCCCCCAATGAAATGGAAATAGTATGTAAAGTTTAAACTTACTATAAAGTAACCAAACATCCAGGGAGTCTGTGGCTTACAGGGCTAGTTATGGGACACAGGGTTCTCCAGCTTTAAGTCACTGGTTTGAATCCAGCTTTGGTAAGTAACACAATGCAACTGAGGCTTGGCCTGCTATGAGTGCTACTAGCACTACAGTGTAGAAAAATGGCTGATACTATAAACAAAGCAATTTCTCAGCAGTGATGTCCTGTTTTACAGCCTATGAAAATGACCTTCCACTTTTAATTAACTGTGTGATTTTCCCCTCCCCTTCCTCTGCAAAGTGCAAACCATTTTCATTTTAAACCTCTTGATGCCAAGATTCACATTCTTCAGGTCTGAAACCCATTGCCAGGCGGAGGCAAGCTGGAAACTCAGGGGCCTGTCTGTACTGTGCTTAGCACACTGGATGGAATTCATCCACATGCAGGGAACCCTCACATGGCCTATTTACATGACAACTTGAAAATGTTGTGCTGGAAAGCGTACAACCAACTTGATGTATATATTTTCTTTGATTTCTCAAGTGAGTACATAAATGCAAGTAGCTATTTGGTGTGTCATAAAGCACAACCCCTAAACTCTAAGGGTTCCATTTGGGATCTTAATATCCTGCCAGACTGGTTATAGGTCAGCACTCTATTGTACTTGGCCAATAAAAAATTGAATTATAAAAAGGGAAGGAAAACTCCTGACTTCAACTCCTCCTCCAATCTCTCTGCTCATGACATCAGTGAATACCTGAAGGAGACTGAACCAAGGGGAAGGGGCCCAGGCTGGAAGGAGACCCAGACGGTGAAATTTACTGCAACGTATGGTGAGGAAAACCTTCATTTTGAATTTTGTTCATTTGTTAAGTTAGCCGTTAGCTTGCGTTTTACTCTTTTGTAACCAATCCGGGTTCTTATGCATCATTATTTGTAATCACTTAAAATCTATTTTCTGTAGTTAGTACTCTTATCTTATTGTTTTATCTTAACCTGTGTGTTAGGTTAAAGTGTGTGGGAAAACTCCATTTGGGATAACAGGGCTGGTGCATTATCATTTTCCTTTGATGAAATGATGGACTTTCTATGAGCTTGTACTGTTCAGAAGGGTAATAAGCAGTACAAGGCACAAATTTCTGGGAGACAAGGCTGGGACTAGGAATTTGTGGGTGTCGACCTGTATGTAATTCAGGAGTGACTGGTCAGCGTGCTCATGTATTTAGTTGGGAGTGAATTTGCATGCTGAAGTCTGTGTGAACAGGCCAGGAGTGGATGTTCTGAGAGCAAAGCCGTGTAGAAGGCACCCCAGGCTAAAGAGTTCAACAGTTCAGATTGTACCCTGGGGAATGTCACTACCAATCTCACATATCATAAAAACTGAAAAATCTTGAACTTACCCGCGAAAATTCCAGCCATCTATACTGAAAGCGTCGGCTGAGGTTAAATATTCTTGAATAAACCATCCTCCATACCAGATAGTTGGCAATAGTCCTGTTAAATCAGACATACATATTTATCAAACATTTAAGTCCATGTGATGTACAGCAAAGCACTTGTAGAAGCAATATCTGAATGGCTTTCTGTAAGAGCAGTTTGAACTGAATGACAGAAATTTCACCTTTAAAATTAATGATGAGCTATGACCGAATTGATAAAATCCTATTACACAGAAGAAATTGCATGAAGACAGCCATTTACTGCCTGATTTCATGATAGGAGCCATCTTCTAGAGAATGCTTTTAACACATTCGTATCCTGATATATACATTTCATAGTTGTACTCTTTTTACAATGCAATTTTCATTTAGGTACTCTTTACACAAATGGTAAGTGCTATGCAGTGACAGTAATTATGTAATTGCTCTGTACAGAAACTACACAATATCTGGTAATTTTTTACTTGTAAATCAAAGTGCAGGTTCTCTCTCTTTACTAGTAAGACCTGCAAATAATGATCATGAAACTAAAATCATGGATAATTAGCTCCCATATATAGTCATTACGTGGTATTAACTAGGGTGACTAGATGTCCTGATATTAGTGGCTTTGTCTTATTTAGGAAACTATGCTGTGTCCCCCCCCCACCCCCCAACTGGAAAAAAAAGTGTCCCAATTTTTCACACTTGCTGTCCGGTCACCCTTGTATTAGCACCTTTCTTATGAAAATATCAATGTGTTTTACAAGCATTTCTTCATTAGCACTCTGAGAATTACTGTAGGCAAATATTACTATCCCCACTTTGTAGATGGATAAACTGAAACACAGAGAAAGCTTAAGCGCTCAGATACTAGAGGGGTTGAAAGATAGATAGGAGCAACTTGTCCAACCCTCCCAGGAGACCCAACTCCTGTTACCCTTCACTAAACATTAAACAACACACTCTCAAGTCCAATGTGTATGGTTACTGTGATGGGGTAACTAGCACCTGCTGTATGAGACATATGTGCACTGTAAAATCAAGGTGAGGAATTTAGATTTCACCCTCTCGAAAATACTGAAGTATTCTACAGCAATGCCCTAAACACACTGGTACAGTCATACACAAGTGTGAATCATAGTAACTTATTCACTAAAGATTTGCCCCTGATCACATGCACTTGGAGTGCACATGAGTGTATTTAGCAAAAGTCATGATTAAGAAAAGGGGAACAGGATAATTTGGGAAGCATTTATGACTGAAGATAAAGTAATGAGCTCTACTATATGATCAGACAGATTGCACCACTTCTGTATTGAAAACTGAAGGAGGCAGGTTGGAATAAGGAAAACTCTGTGAAGGTTCCCTTGTGAATATTTCGCCATAGCATCCTATGAGGCATAGGAAAGATTTGCCTTCCTGGGGCAAGGGCTGTGGGGCCCACCTCAAACCTGGTGTTTCCCAGGAGATCTGAGAGAGGCCAAAGCCATCCACAAGGAATCCCTTTACCTGAGCACTGACACTGAATGCCCTGTAGCCATGAGGTTCCCCAGCAGTGGCTACCCTCACAGACAAGCTTCCTTTTCCAGGAAAGATCCATATGGTCAGAGCAGGGCTAAGAACCACCTGCCCTGGCTTCACCCTCAGCCTGACCACTCCTTTCTCCCAAGCTTCCCCTTTTCCCATCTTCTCCTACTGTGGCGAGACCTTCACGGGTCTGAAGGGAGAGGAACAGTGTCATGGCAACATCCAAGTCTCCTTCCACATGTGGGGGTTGATATCCCATGCATGGAGGGAACCCTTCACTAGGATCTAGGTGGCAATCATCTGCCCTCCTGTATGTAAATGTCCATGTAATCATATAATATATTGTGTCTGTTGGATGTTTTTTCAGTGATTAGAAATATACATGTCTAATATATAATGTCATCAAGAAGATTAGCTTGCATGAGCTCAGGTTACAAGACTTCGAACAGTTCTTTTTGTCGTGATTGAATGAATTGAATCAGAAACATCAAAATATACTCCAGGATCAATAATGATACCTCAAAATAGCAGGTCTTTCACAAAAAATGTTTGGTCAATATGGGGTTTCCTGAAGCAATGACAAACTGAATTATGCTCTAAGTGCCTACTCAGTAAAATTTCTGCAAGTGAGCTAATTTCCACAAGCCTCACATTTATCAATTTCAAAGCGCTTCAGCGGGGCTGCATCCATGCTCCTGCAATACCTATTAAGTCCCTGCATTTTATTAGAATCTAGAAAAGTATTTGCAGGATTCCTGTGGATTAAAATGATAAAAGGCTTAATTTTCATTAAAATTCTTATAAGGAGAAAACCCCATGTAGAAAGACCACTACCATGAGGCAATTACATTTTACAATTTAGCACTTAAACGCCACAGAAATTTAATTCTCCTTTGTGTGCAGTTCTTGCTCCACCTTGGGTGGTGTTTATCCTTGATTATGGGTTAGGAAATCTGTTCTGAGTTAAAATAAAAGGGTGGGGAATGTAACTAGTGATGGATGAACTTCAAAAATAGGCCTGATCCAAAGCCCATTGATATCACTGTAAGTAGTTCCATTGATTTCAGTAGCTTTTGGATCAAGTCAATGATATGGAGGTGGGGCTGAGTTTAGATAAATACATGAAGATTATCCAAATCTTATTTGAACTGGATCTGAAAAATTGGGCTGGACACCTTCCAAGAATGGGTGCTTTGATGAGATCTCTGGTACCTTCTTTTTGAACTAGTATTTGAATCCCCTGCTACACAAAAATATAAAGCAATGAAAAAGGTTTCATTTCAAACTCTGGATGAGGATTGGTTATTCTGTTTTCTTGAGCGTGGGGAAGAGGCAGAGGCGTAGCGAGCGCCCTCCGTACCCTCCGACCGGAGGGGGCCCTGCAAGGAAAGGGGCCCCTAAAAGTGGCAAAATAAATACCGCATTCCAGTTTCTGCATTGTAAGGGGCCCCGCCCGGACATATGTTCGGAGGGGGCCACGGTTCGGAGGGGGCCACGTTCTTTGTTGCTACGGCCCTGGGAAGAGCAGGGTTCATATTTTATCTGAACCTGTTTACCAATCCTTGGCTTCTATTCTTTGTCTCTTCGGCCAAGTACACAAAGTACAAAAAGAATAGAGATAGATGGGGCTAATTTCACCACTTTGGTTTAAAACAATAGTACTTTTTACTTCTGTGTTGCCATTCACCTAAGCCTCTCAGAATGCTTTACAAATTATTTAATCTGCACAATGCCAGTGTGAAGGAGGCAACTAATATGCCAAGTTTACCAATGGTGAAACTGAGGTACGGAGAATGTGAGCTATTTGCCTTGCTTCCCACACTGAGATGTAGTTCTAGAATAGAACATACAAGTCCCAGATCCAAGTTCTGTGTAACTAAAGTCCTTGGGAAGATTACATTTTGTCCCACTTTGACTGATAAATGATTGCTACAAATGGAAAGTTTAGGATGATTATTTCTTAACAAAGCGGTCTGTTAGTTTGTGGTATAGTCTCCCAAAGGAAGTGGTAGAAACCTTGTTTCCTGGGACATTTCGAACTAGACCACACATTTGTGATAACACTGTAAGGAACAATAATGCCTTGGCAGTGAATAAAGTTGATGACCTACATAAAATGCTAGGATTTTGTGACATCATGCTAGCATTTCTATCAATATTTATTGATAGACAGTTTTAATACAAGCTCAACAAATAGATCCATGTTTTCCAACTAATGGACTTCCTTGAGGGGCATAAGCTGTGCATGCATTTTTGCATTCCTAACTGAATTGTGGAACCAAATTCTGAGCACTTCTAAACCTCTCTCTACCATACTCCAGCAGCGGCATATCCACAACTAATTTAGCAGGAGCATCCTGAAGTGCAAAGAGAATACTAGGCTTCAAGTTTTCTAAAAGTTTATTCCATTATGTTCTATGGAAGAGTGAGTGTTAGTTATTTGTCTTTTGCCAGACCAGTAGGATAAGCAACAGGAAAGTAGTTCTTCAGTTTGAGTTCCGTTAGGGTTATAATCATTGTTATTGTAACAGTTACAAAGATTTGTATTTGGGATACAAATCCCTTTATTGCTCTCAGGTTATACATGGGACTGTTCTTCTCTCAATGTACACAAATTCTCCTTAACAAAAGTGAAATGGACATTGAGGAAAGAACAGATTCCTTATATAACAGATGTAAGTTAATATCTAAGATTCCTAGGGCATACTATACAATATCTTGATTAAATTCACTGGAGTTACCATGAACCGATTAGAGCTGAGTGAATAATGGCCTGTGAAAAATTCATGCAATGAATTTAGCTCCTATTCTGGTTTTTGTGCTGTCTCCAATCAGACTGCAATTTTAATGAATTTGTTCACTATTCAAAAGGGTCCAGTGAGTGCTCGGAGGAAATCGTTTTCAATATGTGGATTGCTTACAAAAAATTCTCTGTGAATACTTCATTGAATAATCCATACCTGGGGTTCAGTTCAATATTCAACTTGAGCGATTTGTCACTTAATTCGCATGATATTGTTTCTGTTCTCAGAATGGATGACCTAATCTTTAAGCTGCTTCTTCCTCTATCTGAAACAAATTTCATTTACTTCGACTGTACGACTCTTTGGAGCTGGGGCAGTCCTTTTTCTGTGTTTGTACAGCACTTTCTACCATAGTCCTGGTCTACTACTGGGGTTCCTATGGCTACCACAATACTCATAATAATAACAACAATTTTGTGCCTGAAAAGGGATGGAACTCAGTCAAAGTGAAAATCCTATTTAGATGCCACAGAAATATCCACAAATAATTTTTCTTACTATTCACCTGGCTCCACTAATGATACTATATCTCCTGAAGTGATTCAGAAATTAATTTATGTTATAACCACTGAAATACGACTGGGACTTCAGAAGGAATCAAGGGGAATATATTAACATAGAAATATTAACACATAAATATTTACTGTGACAATCTGAAATCAAGTCCACGTTGTTTGCATTAATTTTGCTGTTTAAACTCCTTTCTGACATTCACCTGCTGTATAAAATATGACATTTAAGCATTTATCCTTGAACTTATTCACCATTTAGGCAGATTTAAGGCTCTGTGTATTGCTCTACACTTATGGGGGTGGTGGAAAAGGAGAAGTTTTCTTTCCTGTTACTATTTTTTCCAAACTAGATAATAAAGTAACTTTCAGAGCCAATTGTGACATCTTAAAGAGTCCTAAAAAAGCTTTTTTGTTACTATGTAGTGAATCTTTGAATGGATGTTCTGTATTAATCTATTTGTATCTTTGACAAACACGTGAGTAACAACGGCCATATTAAAGTAACTGAATAAATTTATTTATGTTTAAGTCATCATGCTATAATTTACCATTTCTAACAACGTATGAATCAATTTTCTTAGGACTAGATTGCACAGTGTAGGCATAGCCTGTCTTGAGGACTCTCACAAACTGCTGCCCTCCTTAAGGGATGAAGCTCAGTGCATGGGGTGTGGGGAAACAGAGTCATGGCTTTGCCTACTCCCGCACTTTCTGCTTTCTTTGGGGCACCCTGTGCCCAAGGGCAATAGTTAGGGAGTAGTACTGGCACTCCACTGAACACAGGGCCTGGACCTGTGCCCAGCCCATATGCCACCCTCACAAGAGAGGGGAGGTTCTTTACTCCCTCCCCTCTGCTGTGCTCCTGCATAAAGGCTAGGGAGATCTAGCTCTTAATTAAGCTGTAGGACCCAATCCTCCCAGCACCTTACAGGATGGGACACTGAAGTAAATAAAATGAGCCTCTTTGCTTTATAGCAATATAATACAAAACATACACATAAAGGGACCAATTCTCCATTGCCTTGCTACATATGCAGTTGGTGTAAAATGCTACCAAATAAGCATTTTATACTCACTTTGCATGTATGAAACTGACTTTCCAAGGCACAAGGCAATGGAGAATCGGGGCCACACAATGCGTATTATTCAGTCATTTGAAGGAGAAATTCTGTGGTCGTGTCTGTTTGAATTGTTTAAAGCAGGTTATGATAGCTGATTGTTTGGCGGTTGAACAAACACTAATTTTTATTTTTAGTATTGCCTGATATTTTACAAGTATTATGAATTTTTTAAAATATGTTCTTATTAAGAGAAGAAATACAGTGCAATAACATCAGAATAAAGTTTCTGCCTTGTTCTAGTATTTTTTAGTTGTTATGTAGATGACTTTAGTTTGACATGCTCTGACCAAGTAATATTATTGCATGGTTAGCAATAAACTGTTTTTAGAAAGACATTCAACCAAAAATAAAAAGGTGGATGGTAAGAGGCAATCATTAAACAAGTAGCTCAACAGAGTAATTCATAAGCTGTTAGTCAGTTTGAGTAATAAAGGAGTATTGCAAAGTCAGACAATTCAAGTATATACATTTTTCTCTATACTAAGGGACTGTTCTTCCATGTCTTGCACCCCTGAGCAAAGTGGGTGCAAAATGCTACCATTCTGATCTAGTAGCATTTTACACATCCATATCACAGCAGTAAATGACTACACAAGATGCAAGGCCATGGACAATCTAGCCCTAAACGTATATTAGAATGGTGAGCTGGATGCACCTGTAATTGCAAGCCGCACTGCAAGATCTTTTTTTATTTCACTTTTTTTATTTGAAGTTAGAAATTGCATTACCATCTACAAGACTTGTATTCTTCAGCCTTTATTCAAGCAAAACCAAATGGGAGGTTTGCCTGAGTAAAGACTTGAGCCAAGAGAGTGCTGAACATCTGAGATTCTCATTGAAATGCCCCAGATTTGGCCCACCCTTTTGAGTGTAGTTGAATGCACGGTATAATACAGCAGACAAAGGTATAACACAGTCCAATGGCTGGAAGTTAAAGCTAGACATAGACATATTCAGACTGGAAATAAAGTACACATTTTTAACAGTGGGGGTAATTAACCATCTGAACAATTTACCAAGAATTGTGGTGAAGTCTCTATCACTGGCATTTTTAAAATGCAAGATTGAGTGCTTTTAAAAAAAAAAAATAATAAAGATACACTCCAGGAATTATTTTGGGGAAGGTCTATGGGCTGTGTTATATGGGAGGTCAGATTAGATTATCACAATAGTCCCTTCTGGCCTTGGAATCTACAAAACATAATAATAATCCTCACTTTTTCCTTTCTTTTTCTAGTATCCTGAACAAATCTTTGAAGTACTGGGGCACACGGACAATCACGTTTTCTGAAGGACCTAGATCTTGAAGGTCAGGGTAGAGTTTAGTGTCAATCACCTTCCTAATATATCCCAGCCAGTCAAACTGAAAGGACAAAGAAAAGCTCAGTTAATACATTTGACAAACAGGGAAGATCAGACATAATTAATTGGCAGGGTTCAGTTAAATGACACAAAGGTTTTTGCTCATTTAAAATATTTAATTTCATCATGGCAAATAGTTTGGTACTTAAAGATGCAGCTGTATTTAAAACAACAATTATACTAGAGAACACCTGTTTGTACTAATGTTCATTTAAAATGCTGTCATCTGCACATTTGAAGCGCCTTCAGTTGTAAATGGTGAGTTACATAGTCCAGACATTAGAGCAATTTTCCAGTTAACTTCCACCAACCTGAGGGATCATGGTGCTAAGTTCAGATATGTTCATTCTATTGTACATAGTCTCACTGGTTCGATTCTCCTGTGGAATCATTATCTAGAGAACATAAATGAAAATAAATATATTTTAAACATCCTTCTCTTACAAATAATATGATAGGTATTAAACTGAGAACTATCTCAGTCCAGCTGCAAAAAAAAAAAAAAAGTAGTTCATAGCAACAAATTGCCTCCCGATCCTCAAAGGAAAGTCAGCTATCCTAAACCCAAAACTAACTAATGTTATTTTAACTTATTACACTTCAGTAAGTTATCCAGTATTTTTTCTTTTAAAAATTGGGCCAAATTTTGCTCCAATTACATCACATTAAATTACTAGTCACTCCATTCAAATTTTTAGCAGCATAAGTGAGAGCCAGATTTAGCCCATTAATACTTCTTCACTTCATCACCTCAACTAGAAGTCCATTCCACCTCCTCAAAAGCATCTGGTCAAAAAGAAATAGTACAGAGAAAACTAGGCCCATTCATAAATTATGAGGATTATCCAGATTCCAAGGTTTCGGTTTGTCCATAATAAAAAAAATAGTCCAAGCACAAAGTTCAGATCCAGTTCAAAATGTCCTCAAAGTTCAAGGGTGTTAGGATTTCAGATGCTGGTTCCAGCCTAATTCTAAGGTGATTTCTATACCATGGACTCCGTTGAAACTAAACAGGACACAGATGGCAAGATTGCAGACCAACCAAACTAATGGCAGTTTTCCAACCCAAACTCCCAAACCAAGTTTCTCTGGCTTTTGCTTATGCCATACAGAAAATATGACTTTCCTCAGATATTTTAATTCCCTTCCCTCACTGCCCCTCACATATGTCATCTTTTTCTTCCCCCACTCCCCACAGGCTCTACTCCCTAAAATCTTCCCACTTTTTCCTGCTTAAACTTTCATTTTTCTCCATGCCTACTGGTACCACCCCCTGACATGTGACAAATCTTTAAACTCATCCTGCATGCTCTGCTTTCTTTCCCCCACAAAACTCTCCTACTTGTGTGTAGTTCGCAATCACCCACATCTACCTGAAATCTTAGCATCTGCTCTCCACACATTCCCTCAAATCCTCTCTAATCACAGGATCTATTCTTAGAAATATTTTCCTTCCATTCTTCTACTTCTCTCCCTGAACAAGTCTTCCCCAGGTAAGTTCACTTAAAATGAATATAGGGCACACAGTATATATATATAAAAAACCAAGATAACAAGAGTTAATGTCTGTCTTGTAGTTACACAGGGGTGTTTATATAACCAATTACATTCACTAGGGCTTGGTTAACAATCAAAGCCATTGGACTCCGGTCTTTATTCATGTCTAGATTTTAGGGCATTTTTTTTTCCCCTTGAACAGCAATAATTATCACTCTCAGTGTATTATGTCTCTCAGTGACTATTATTGACCCTGAAGGCTCTCAGGGTCCATTTCATCTATGTGGCAGCTTCACATGTGCACTAAATTCATGAACTAAAAGTCTGTAGGGCTTTATCGAAGGAATTACTGGAGCCACAAGTGATGGCAACGTCTGGGAAAAGTGCACCCATTTGCAGTGTCGCTAAAGAGCTGAACAAACATGTATTGCTCTTCCAATGTAATGAGAGACAGTGAAGAATATGCTCATTACAATGAAGCAAGCTCTGTAAGGCGCTGTCTTGAATAAAATAAAGCTGAATGTTTGATTTGATACACTGCTGCCAGCTTGGATCACCCCAAATTCTGCAAAAAAAATCTTTTAGGGCCATATGCTACTTTCTACTCTGTGATAAGCAGCAGCAGAAATCAGCACATCAAGACTAATAGTGTTTGTGTGTGATGGGGAGAGATCTGGCTTTATGGCAGGCTACCCACTATCCTTCCCCAACAAGCTTAACCAATGGTCTCCAGAGGTTTCAGGTTCCACATATTAGGACAGGGGTGGGAAAACTTTTTGGGCCGAGGGCCACATCTGGGTTGGGAAATTGTATGCAGGGCTGGGGCAGGGGGTTGGGGTGTGGGAGGGGTTACGGTGTGCAGAAAGGGGCTCAGGACAAGGGATTGGGGCAGAGGAGGGATGTGAGGTTTATGAGGGGGCTCAGAGAAGGGGGTTGGGGTGCAGGAGGGTTGCGAGGTGCAGGCAGGGGGCTTAGGGCAGGGAGTTGGGGGGCAAGGCAGGAGGGGCTCAGGCTCGGGCTCCGGCCTGGCGCCACTTACCTAAAGCGGCTCCAGGGTGGCAGCGGCACGCACCGGAGCCAGGGCAGGCTCCCTCCATGCCTGCTCTGTCTCCGGCCCAGCACCACTCCAGGAAGAGCTGCAGCCCCTGGGGGAGGAGGGCGGAGGGCTCCACGTGCGCTGCCCTTGCCGCACCTCCAGGTACCTCCCCTAAAGTTCCCATTGGCCGCGGTTCCCCGTTCCCAGCCAATGGGAGATGCGGGGGGCGGTGCCTGGAGGCAAGGTCAATGCACAGAGCCCTCTGTCCCCCCGCCCGGGGGCCACAGGGACATGGAGCTGGCTGCTTCTGAGAGCGGCGCGGGGCCCACGGCGCCACGGGGGGCAATCCCACAGGCCGGATCCAAAGCCCTGAGGGACCAGATCTGGCCCGTGGGCCGTAGTTTGCCCACCCCTGTGTTAGGAGGTGGTGGGATAGATGGATGGCTGCTCTCCACGGCACTGTCCAGAAACCATGAATTCCATATACATTAATGCTGATGGGGCAGCACTAATTTAGAACAGTTCGTCACCACTGAATGAAACCCTTCCTGCTCACCCTGACCAAAGGAGTTCACAGGAATGCTAGCAGGATGTGCCACCCCTGGGAGAAAAGTCCCTGCAGGAGCCATGCTGGTATGTAGGTCAACGGAGCAAGAAGCACAGGGCCACCACAAATGTTGCCTTTGTCTCCAAACAGTTCCCAGAGATCTAGGAGTTTTATGGGTAAAAAGCAAGTATAAATTCGATAGGAGTGAGGAGGGATCCATTTTCCTACCATGGCCTCATTTTTCACGCAGATACAAATGGAATATTGATTGACTAAACCCATCGTTCTGTAACTGAACAAACAAGAGCCCACACAATTCAGGTGGCCATAATGTTCTAAAAGACAACAAAATATTTCAGCAGGAAAGCTAGACGTAAAACTGTTTGTAATAATACTTAATGGTATTACTTCAACCTTCCTCACAAGCATAAGTTAATGATAATACATTGCCTAGCTGATTGCACTACGGGAAACACATTTAACTAAAACAGCCTCATCAAAACTCAAACTAATAATTATTTTGCAGATTTAAAGGATGGACTATACTCCCACGGCTGGTTATTTCAGAACAGAATTCTGAGTTAACAGTTAACTAATGCAGAAGGTTTGCTTTGGGCTTTTCTTTTTCATACTTTCACTACTGTTTCTACTCCTCCACTTCACCTTTCAAGAAATGTTACAAAGTATGTTAATATAAAATAATTGCACGAAGGAAAACCAGTAATATAGTATTGTTTTGATTCATGCATCTTTTTAGCAGCTAGTTACAATTACACATTAGAAAATTACTAACCTCAGCTATTTTAATTTCCAGTTTCAGAACTGACTTCATATCAGACTCTGCCCGTGAGGCATTAGCACCCAAAAGCACTGCAATATCAACCATGAACTGCAAAAAGGCTTCTCTGTACTGAAGAGAAAGAAGAATGAAATGAACATTGCAGTTACTTCTGAGGGTGGCTGTAACAGTAAAAAGAAAAGTATTCTGCATTTAAGTCATTGTTTCAAGTGGAAGATAAGCATTTTGTGAGACTGGCTTTATTCCACCGCAGGAGAACCAGGGAAATAACGCCATAACAGGTACTGTGCTGACAGGATCTCTCTGTGGTTCACTGAATATAGCTTTCAAAACATACCAAATGGCATGTGTGTGTTGGATTGTAGACATACCTACAGATGTTAGAGCTCAGAGAATTAGTATAGACCAAGCCAAGCTGTAAATCTACAGCACACTAGCATACCATGCACTAATGGCCGTGTAGACGAAAAGTTCACTATAGTGCTTTGACCTACTACTGTATCAAACAGCGTGCAGTAGCAGGATCCACATTGGCAGGTTCATGGTAAGCTAGTGTGCTGTAGATTTACACCCCAGCTCGCTGTGCACTAAGTCTGTGTGTACATAAGCCCTTACAAAGGAATTGAATATGTATATTTGTATAGAAAATATATTCCTAGAATGATCTCTCTGCAACAACTCACTTCCGTCCTCCAGTCTTGCACTGAGCTTTTGGATGCCCTAGGTCCTCTGATGTCTTGGAGGACATCTGGTGGAATCCTATCAGCCAGCATTCAAGACAGGAATAAAATTATACTCCAATTAACTACATATTTCACCTTCTGGTAGATGTAGTTCACTGGAGACACCACCTGGCCAGAGGGATGCCACTGGAAAACACACTAGCTCACTTGAGAGCTGGGAGGGGGAAGAAAAAGGTTCAGAACTTGGATGAGGGCAATCACCACTGCCCCATGAAGATTGTGGGGATATATTTATAGAGTCTGGGGCTACAGGTGCTGGACATTGCATAATTTCCCATCATACTTAGGGGGAAAGGTGTTGCAAGTACTAAATATTGGGATAATCATTGAACACTTTTGGATCTTGCAATCCCTACTCAACTGTGAGCATGAAGAGGTTTGGAAGGGGCCATAGGAAGAAAAGAAACTGAAGACCTTGGAACCTATTGAGGGCCTCCTCATTCTGGGATTAAATACATCTAAATGTATTTGACAATAATGATCTAAAATACCAGAACTTAATACAGTGTTGGTGCTTAGAGTCATTAGATCATTTTACATAGTTTAATTGAACCAAGCCAAAACTTACTATAAGGTTCAGGTTTGGTTCAGAGGAAATGCAGAGCTGAATTTTTATTTTTATAATTTTTCTAAAATGAAGAATACTCTGGATGAGAACAAGAGACGTGCAATTAACTGTAGTATAAACAAGCATAAATAGCAAACCACAGACCCCAATCTCAATTTGGAGCTCAGCTAAAAAGAAAAAATTCATAGTGGGAAAATGATTTATCAAAGTTCAAGTTACTAATACTTACAGATTTAGCTTCTGTGGTATTATCAAGGTAATCTTCCCGTGCAGTTAGAGACAGGGTTGCTTGGTCTAGCTGTTAAAATAAACAGGAAAAGTATATAATACTCCTTATATAGTCTGTATTACACACATACACACAATTAACTGCCATCAATAAGAGAGGTATTTTTCTGGTCGTTAGAATAGGTGATATAGGGGCTAGTGGATCTGATCACCAGTTTAGGATAAACAACTGGCCATGCCCAAGAGTCCAGCTCTTCGGGACTCTTTAACACAAAAAACTGTAACACGTTCTTCAGCTAAGATTGTAGGGCTCTCTGGCCTGCAAGAGCTTAAGGCACTGGACCTTAGCCCAGCGGAGGGGGGTTCGCAGGACTTTCCTGCTCTCTTGCAGCCATCTACTGCAGCCAGAGTGTGCATTCCGAGCCTTCTCCTGGTCCCAACCAGCCTCATGAACTGGGGCCCTCAATTATATCCCCTGACTGGGATCCATTAGCCCCAATCACTAAATGTTGTCTGGCTGGGACAGATGATTCCCAGCACCTGCCTGCTGGGCTCCTCTTCAGAATAGGACAGGCTGCTCCCCGGCTCCCCCGACCCTTAAAGGGGCACACCGCCCTGTTACGCTGTCCTATAACACTAACATACAATCAATTGTGCAACATTGTGATAAATCCCACAGGAACTCTCACAAGCAGAAAACTTTAAAGTGCACTGTATGGCATTAACCACACTTGGACTGACCTCCACTCCATTATACTCATGAAACTTTAGAAACCCCAAGAAATAAACAAACCACCACCTGCAATATAAATGAGATTGTCCTACTGTTGAAAAGGTGGTGCTGAAACCTTTTTCAGAGAGTCGTTTTACAGCACATTTAAGGTTCACGCTGATATTTGTTCTGCAGGATGAAATAATCATGCCAGGATATTTGCATATTGCTGCAAGTCCTTTATCAGGCAAAGTCCCTCTGAAGTCAATTTTTTTTAAATTACTTCTGGAAACTCTCATTTTTCCCAAAGCACTATATTGGCTCATGTTAGACTGAGGTACAGATGCCCATTTTGAAGGCATAATCAATTTCAAATCACTGAATAATATATTGATGAGGCCACCCGCAGCAGTATTGTTGCTGCAAGATTACTACTCTGGAGAATTTTGTTTTTAAAAAATATGATGCGCTACCCAATGAACAAACATTAGATTTAAATATATAGTTTTACACAGGCACATTTTTAGAAACAGAAAGAAACAGATAATAGCAATATAGCATATTTATATTTATTAAATTTAGTGGGAGGTTTAAATGTGTGATTTTTTTTTTAGAATTTGAAATAAATAAAAACAACCAGACTGTCAAATACATAAATGTTGTCATTTCTATATCACCTGCTATTTGAAGCTTTTGTAACATATCTTATACAGAATAATACAAATAATTCATAGAAATCACTTCCTCAACTGGAACTTAGGAAGATTCCTCTAGTTGTTTATAAGCACGTGGCAATGATACTCAACAGCTTTATTATTTCTGAGAAACAATATCACTGTACTATTTCTCAACATGTCCAAGTGAAAAGAAAGTACCTACAGCAGCAACAGTAGACCTCGGATGATTTTGTTTGTTTTAAGTAATCATCCGATGATTGAAATGCTTATCTGAACTTGGCCAACTCTTTTTTGGTCTAGAAATCAGGCTTGAGGTCTTGGAAGAACAGAATTTCTTCCAAATTTTTTTATACTTGGCTCCATTAGGGCTGGAAATATATTCTAGTTGAAACCAAGAAATGCAAAGATGTGAGAAAAAGCAAAAGCAAAGGAAAGCTAATCAATTTCTTTAGCCTTCAGGAAAAGGTTCAGGTTGGATTTGAGTAGAGTTTTTTATTTCATCTGAACCACATTGCTCATGAACCTGTAATGCTGAGAGAGAAAGCTTAAGAATGTTAAAATATATCTCTTCCTGTAAATAGATTTAAATACTTCATTACTCATCTACCCTCCTGGAATTAATTAAAACATTTAGTTACTAAGCAGAATATTGGCAGAGGCACTCTGCAAATCGAGCTTCTAATCAAATTAGCAATGAGCAGTCATTCAGACTGTGCAGTTAATTTATGCACTTAAATACTACTAAACAGATTCAGTGGACACACTAGTAAATATAATCCATCACTAGGAGACTAGCAAAAGGATCTGTCCCAACCAACAATTTATGTGGGTGAGTTGGGTTACCTAAATAGCTTCTTGGAAAATACTTCCTATAGAGATTCTAGTCTTTCACCCATTAGAAAAAGACCTTTGGCCAAAGTATCTGAACATCATTCAAGTAGTCTGTACATGGGAATCCGCTAATGAAAACAAGGAAGTGGCTCATTAACTTGATTTACTATTGACTCAATGAGTAGTGGAAAGAATCACTTTAAGGGAACATTAGGAATATAAACATTTATGTCAGTTGGCTATCCCTGACCTGGTTTTGAAAACTGTGACCCAGAATCAATAACAAATCTAGTATCAGAAAAGTTAAGGTCCACAATATCCCTACGCAATCTATGTAATGCCCAGAAGGCAACTTTTATATAAGGATCACCCATTTTATTTCACTTTTGTGACTGGTCACTTTCCACTTTGCCTTTAACTCTCTCTAGCACAGACATACAATCTCATTGCTGGTAACTGGTGGGTTGGGTTATATGGTTTAGGGTTGTTTTTTTTCTCCTTAAAAAGCAACAAAAATTTGGACCAAGTCTCACGTTAACCCAGGTGACAACCTGCCTACCTAAATTCTACCTGTCCTGGTGACAACCTGCCTACCTAAATTCCCCCTGAAGTTTCAATAGGATACAGCTAGGTAACATATTTTAATTCATTTACTGTCCTAAATTGTTGTGTAGCGTTGGCATGAATTGCTAACCTGCAGCCATGTTACACTGCAGAAGTGATTGCATTTCACTGAAAGGTTAAGTGACTCCTGTATTTAAAGCATGAATGAGTTTGGGGATCATATGAAATGAATGACGACATATCAATATAGGACAATATACTAGTGCCACCAATTAAGTGCCTAATGAAGTGGAATATCCCAAATTTATAATACTTGCAAATGATACACCATCTTTTATCTTCACAGAAAAAAATATTCCTCCTCACACAAATATATAGGACACAAAAACCATCAAGAATCAGATTCTGACCTCATTTGGATACCCACATCGATCTTGGATATTGATTAATCAGGAATGTATTTTACTCACAATTCTGCCCTATTAAGGAATAAAATATCCTATCTACATACATTTTTCACCCGTGATAGTGTAACATTTGGTACGTAATGGCTTCTAAATTCCCATATATGGGTGATCATGTATATATACAAACCATTGGGTACTAACGGTTACAGCTAAACTTAAATTAACACAGTATTGAACTCACTTTTTAAAATGGATCACATAGCTATGACAAGTAGCATATTAGAAATGTTATACTGTACCTTTAAGATGTGTTTATTGGAGGTTTTGTCATCAGGAGCCACATACAAACGGATGAAGACAGAGTTACTGTACTGACCACGAAAAGTTGCAAGGGTCTGGAGCATGCTGAACTTCCTTTCTGACCATTGTCCTTCAGGTCCGATGTTAGATTCCAGCACAGGCCAACGGAACAGCGAATGCTTCAGTATACTTAACAGTGGCTTTGCATCAACTTTTTCAATTTTATCTTAAACGACAAGATGTGCCAACATTAAAGTTCCAGGCAATTCAAACCCAGTAGTGGGTATAAAGTCATGCCAATGAGATAGAAAGGTTTATAGACTGATCAATTTCTAGGCAAGACTAAACAGAATAGCTCAAACCTAATGCCTTGGGTGGTCTTTTGCTGAAAAGACGCCTCTGAAAATAAGAGTACACCTCTACCCCGATATAACGCGACCCGATATAACATGAATTCAGATATAAAGCCATAAAGTAGTGCTCCAGAGGGGCAGGGCTGCGCACTCTGGTGGATCAAAGCAAGTTCGATATAACGCGTTTTCACCTATAACGCGGTAAGATTTTTTTGGCTCCCGAGGACAGCGTTATATCGAGGTAGAGGTGTATATGACTCCTTTATCACAGTTTATCCAAATCAAGCATTGATAACCTGGGCAAGGAGAAACTTGCATTGCATTCAGCTGCACTGTGCCTGTACTTGGAATGTAACCTCTCTACACTCTAATTCTACGGTATGTTCATCATAGCCAATGGAAGAAATGTTTCAGATAAATAATACATAGTGATAATCTAGGTCAGATTTAAAATATAAAGTAAGAATCAGCTTAGGTACTATAGTGATGGACTCAATGGAACACGCTAAGACTGACAGAAATGTCATTTGTTGTTTAAGAAAACGGGATGAAAAACTTGCTTTTTAAATAATGGCTGTGGGCTAACAAGGAATGAAATAACATGCAGTGACGAAATCCTGCTGGTGATTGCTCAACAACTGGCATAGGAGTTTGATTGATATTTGCAAACAAAATTGAGAGGGAATGGGAGTGGCCAGAGAGAGAATATAATGGAGTGTGCAACAGAAAAAACATGTAGGCAGTCAGCTTCACAGCATGTTGGAGCATCAGAAAAGAAATACTCCATAAGACGGGGGGGGTGGGGGGGGGAAACAACTTCTAAAAAAAAATTCTGGGAGAACACCAGAGGAACATGTTGAGGAACCAAGTCTACCAGGTTTGATCCCCCACCCCCTCAAGGAACTGACTCAAGAGAATTCCAGAAACTTTAAAGATAAATTGCTAACTGCATTTGACCCAGAAGAGCCACAAGTAAAACAGATTTCACAGTACCAGCACCTTGTGGAGACATTAGGGCAGCATGAGATTTTTGGGCAGTGGAGGTTCTAGAGACATACACAAATGTGACTGGTGAAGAAACTGTGAGAGTTGAAAGTGGACATAGAGTTACAAGAGACCACAACCTAGGCTAGGGCCAGGTGTAGCTGCACTGATGAGAGGAGAAAGCAAGAAATACTGCAAGCCATCCCGGAGATACTTTGAGAGGGTTCTGCTGTCAGGGCCCAGTTGAAGAGTTGGCTTGTGTGCCCTACCATTTAGGTGCCCCGATGTAGAGGAAATAGGAATGCAAAGAAGAATTTCAATTTTCATTAGAAAAAATGAACATTGTTTCTAGCTTGTTTATGAAAACTACTTGATGGAAGTCATTCGCTAAGGTCAAAGAGAACAAGCAGGGGCGGGCCAGCAAAAGACTGAGGGACCTAAAGTTCCTGATCTACTTCACTCTGCCACCCATCCTTTTAATGTCAAATGACTCCACTGAGTTTGGGGTGTGCCCCAAAGTATCACCTCTCTTACCCTCTCCAAAATCCTCAGGCCAGAACTGTACATACTAGTATGATAATAGAGGAAAGACTTTCGTTAGTGTGGAAGAGCAGGGATGACAAATATTTATTGCAGAGCCTGAAAACTGGCTATCTGACATAGACTCAGGAGTTCAGAGCGAGAAGCCTGAGGGCACAAGCCAAGATGGTAAAGTTTGGAGCCATCTGGTCCTTAATTGCCAGCTGAACAATTCCATCAGAGGATTCTATGAAACAATTTACTCATTTAACCTGTCAGTCAATGCTCCCACATCGTTTTGAGAGTCCCTTAAAGCATAATCACTTTTCAAAGGAGAACTATGTAAATATGGTATCTTGTGCCTTTGTATATTCAGAGGCACATTGCCTGACTTTATTGACAAAACAAGACTCTGAACTTGCAATTGGATCCATGTGAGTGGATCTTTCATTTGCTTGGAGCCTCACTGAGTTCGGTGAGTACAAATGACGGCCTGCATGGGTACAACGGCAGGGTCTGGGCCTAAGCTTTTACTGCTTTCTTCTGTTAGCGTGTCAGAGCCTAATACGGGTAATATACAGCCCACCCAGGCCCCAAAATAAAATCAAGTTACTTACTCTCATTCATACATGATGAGTAAAGGATCTTGGCTTTCTGTACAGCTTCACTGTCCCGTCTCTTGCTGATAGGTTTCTGTAGCAGTGCTGTGAAGCATACACAGTAAAATAAGTTTCTCCCAGGCCTTGGAAAATGCAGGGTTTGGTTTGTTTTTTAAATCATGCCGCTGGTTGGAAAATGTATCATCATGGGATGACTTCATGGTCTAAATACCACTCATCTCCCCAAAACAACTATTTTAAATCCTAGCTGGGTTGACTCAAACCTTACCCCTTCCACGGTACTTAAACTGAGTTACTCTAAAGAGTTGGGAGGGGAGAGAGCCAATAAGGAGGAGACTTTCAAATAACTTTAAAACCCAAGCTTTGAGTTACAATTTTTTAAAAACTGCATTATGAAGGAAGTGACAATCATTGCAGAATATAGCTCATCCTTTTTCTTTTAAGGCAGGGTGGGGGAGGATAGATCTTGCAAGCAGCTGAACAAGTCTTTTCATTCCAGGGCCAGTGCTGTTCTATACCACTCATTTTTTGGCCACTGCCTTTTCCAATAATTTACCATACCACTGTCCCCATCAGGGCCGGTGGAAGGATGTTTCGTGCCCTAGGCGAAACTTCCACCTTG